AATGCCAGCCCATAGCAGGAGGAGAGGGAAAGATGGCAGGGACACGGTGGTAGGAAGTAACTTCGTTGTTTTATCTTCCTGTGGATTTTATTCTGAGGAAAGGAAGGGCTCGCAGAGTATCGCTGGTCTGTGGACGTTCCCATGCCTGCTGCTGAGGGCCTGCCCCAGTGCAAGTGCGGGTCCTGGGGGAGCATCTGGCCTGGCCGTGAGCAGGGGGCTCTCTGAGGGGAGCGCTGTGGTGAGCTGTGCAGCCCAGACCTGCCACGGCTTCCTCTTCTTCCTCTCTTTTCAGTTCCTCTGCAACAGTGCCGGGCCCCGGCGTGGGCAGAGGTCTCGCGGGGCCGCCTCCAGGTGCCGGTTTCAGGGCGGGGAGCGTGGATTAACCCCTGCTGCACGTCCCTTCCCCCGGCTGCCGGCCCCCCGCCCGCCGGCCCGGCCGCCTCCTTTGTGCCGCCCGCATCCTGCCAGGCAGGTGTCAGAGCCCTGAATGCGGGCGAGGGCCCTGCTGATGGATACCACAGATGGAGCGTGGAAATCGGCAGAATGGGCCTCAGCCACAGGCCATTTCTTAGGACCCAACAAAAGCCTCCAAATAAGTCAACAAAAATCCCAAAGATCACAAAGAGAAAGTGTCATTTGTCATTTGCCGCGGGTCTGTGTGGGGGTGGCTGCCCTGCCGTGCTCCTCCTCGCCTGCACCCGAGCCGACACGCCGGAGGTCACCCGCGTCCCCTCCTGCCCAGCGGCACCCGGCAGCGCGGCCGACACACGGAGGTGCTGGGGCCACAGCCGTGGTGCTGGGAGCACCTCCACAGCTCGTGCCGCCTTCTAGCCAGACCCCTGGCCAGGCAACTTGCCAGGGGCTCGGAAGAAAGGGTGAAATATTTTATTAGGTGGCTGCCAGAAGAGCTGTGCCGTGCTGGACTGTGGGACGGTGGCCCTCTGCCCACCTCTGTGGAGTGCGGTGTGCTGTATCTATCATGTCTGGTTTCTAAATGGTTGTCATGTTTTTGTGATTTAGTTATTCAAATGAAATGTCTTGCTGAGAGGAGAAACAGTCCAGGGAATGACCTCTTGTGCATTATTTTGTCATCTGGTTTTTGCCCCGACACGTCTATTTACAGTGTTTGCAAAGCTGATAATTGCAGAGTTCCACGTGACCTGTGAAGCTGAGCAGGACCTTCTTCTTGCTGTTGCACTAACCAGGATGAGGCCTCTCCTCAGCTACCAGGCAGGTCATGAGGGGCTGCGGAACAAATGATTGCCCTTTAATGCCGCTATTTCTTCCTTAATTAAACCTCACAGCTCAGCTACTGGTGGTGCTTTGGGCTGCCGCCCCTGTGGTGCTCCATGTGGGGAGGAGAGAGGCCAGGCGTCATGCTTACAGCCTGCAGGCTTGGAGTGCTCGGATCCTTAGGACGGCTGTGAAAGTTAGCAATACCCAAAGTGTGGGTCTGTGGAGGTGGAAATAGCTAAAAACAACCACCTTTTCCAGCGCTGAGTGGTGTTATGCTGTGGAAGTTCATGCCTCTGTTAGCTCAGTAAGAGGGCCGTAGGCTGTGGCTATGGAGCTGATGGCAAATAAATACTGCAAGGCTGAGGTTTGTCTGATATGTATGCTTAGCCAATGCTCTGGTAGGCTTCTTGCCTATATAAAGACTTAGTAATAGTATTTTACTGATTAAAAAAAGCAAGGATAGAAGCTTCCTTAAAACTAATGCTATTTAAAAACACTTCACAGGAAATAAAAATAGTGTAGTCTGTTGCAGAGACATATAGTTACCGTTTTGAGATTACATTTGCCTGGTTTTTAATATTGCGGATCAGCCAAGACAAAGGAAGTCAGTTTTCACTAAGGCTGCTCCTAGTAGCCAGGCCAAGCAGAGGTAATACTGATGAAATCAGATGAGTAGGAAAGCCATTTAAATGGATATGTGTTTTCTCCCTGCTTGAGTTTCATTACTTTATCTCTAAATGTTACCATTTGTGTTAGACACACAATCTGGACTCTTGAATGCTTTGTTCAGTATTTTTTTGCTGTTTTGTTTTGTTTTTCTGACTGGAGTATCTTTGTGCATTACATATAATGTTTACTGTAAAGTAAAGCTAACATGAAATTAAGTCAGATTCTTGTTCTCATCACTGTGTGAACAGAGGGTGCAGGGAAACATTGCAATTTTTTACTAAATCTTTCTGAAGCATTTTTAGAAAGATCATTATAGCCTTCCTGGTATTCCCACCCAGTTAGTTGAGGGTGTTCAGGGCAGATACAGAGTGACAAGTAGCCACTCTATATTGCACCATTTAAGTTAGCTTGCCTCACTCAGGCACGTGTAGGTGCCATGGGTATGTGAGGCAACACAGGGAAATGATCTCTTTAAAAAGTTCTGTGTTTTCTTTGTTTCTGAACCAGGAAGGCAGGTCTCACTGACTCACTAGGGTTGGGTTTCCAACTGAGGATTTGGAATTTGTCACTATCTCAGTCTGTTGTTTATCCTGGGATGCCCTAGATTTGCAACTTCTATAAGGAATGAGCTTGAACTACTTGGGATAAGATGTTTGTGCTCATTCCCCTATGTCTTGAGGGACAATATTCTCCAGAACAGCTAAATTCAGTCTTATTTGGAGTAAAGCTTCCACACAAGTAAAAGACTCAGAGTTGGATGTTCACACTGTGCATTTATGTTCACCTCCGTGGGTTTCTGCTGATGCCTTGTGTATGTTGTGTCCAAAATACTTATGATGTCTGGACAATGAAGATGGCTTTCACAGAAGAGCCTCTTGGTTAGAGGGTTTTTTTTTAATTTTTTTATTTTTTTGAATGCAGAATTTCATAAAGTCTTCAGTGGACTTGTCTGTAAAAGCACTCTTTCTTTCCCATGCTGTAAGGCTAAATAAACAGATTAAGTGTATTTATTAGTTTGAACAGCTTGAGCTTCCGTTGGAAATGGAAGATAGCTATAATTGAAAGAGGCAAAGGGTTTGAGCTGCAGCTTGAAGAACTGAGTTCTTGAGTTTCTGTTCTGGCTTTGTGTTCTCAGTTTCTTTCAAATAAATCACATTAAGATTATTCTAAATCAATGTCTCTGTCAATAATTTATTTGGAATTATTGAAGGAGTAGAAGCAATGCTTGCATTTCCACAGAACAAGCAGTTTCATCATCACTGGGGAGTGTCTGCCCTCTTTAGGTGGTTTTCCTTGAAGGCTTGGAGAGAAAAGAATGCTTGTTTTCTGGGATAGCAGCAGATGCAAGTGAAAACTGGCTTTGGAAGTCTTTTATTGTGTGTGTGTGTGGTTCATGGTAGTTTGTTGGAAAAGTCAATGTGGTTGGGTACTAAAAGAGGCTTTGCTGCCCTCATCACAACTGTAGCTACGGGCTCAGCCAAACCGGGCTGTGGATGGTGTTCACTCCATTGTCAGCAAGGAGATCCATGATCTCCTGTCAGCCTCCGGTGATGCCAGGGACTTGCTTCTATGGGTGTGTTAGCTCACGCTCACTGTGTCTCCATGTGTTCCTTTATTTCCAAAAGATTAAATTAACTACATGAGGTGCTAAAATAATGCCTCTGAAGCTGAATCTCTCAGTTTTTCTGGAAGATTGATAGATAGACTGGAGATCTGCAAATGGTGCCGTGGGACAGGCAACGAAGAACTGGGGGAAAGATCAATGGATCTAATAAGATAGAGTTTTCTGGGCACAGCTAATCTTTTTATGTGAAATATAGTGATCAGAGCTGCTCACTGGTTCTGATTTCACTGTAAATGGCTGATTGCAAGGGTGGTAAGCCCTGTCTCAGGTGTGGATGTGCAGTACATGGTCTGTTTCTTCATGACCCTCCTTAAGTGCCAGTTCAGGGCACAGTGAGAGACCTCTGGTCCAACACCTGGACTGCCTGTGCTCGCGTCCTGGAATGGTTCCTGAAGGCTGAACCATTGGCACACACCTGCATCTTCCTACAGCCACTGCCAGTGCTGGGATGCCTCCCAAGCCTGGGAGGAGTAATGAAGAACTGTAAGGCAAAGGAAGTAAAGTCATCTGTGTGTTTCATTTTGGCTGTTTCTTGTATCTCCTTACTTTAGTAACAGGAAGAATCAAGAAGAAAAAATATTGCTTTGAGCTATTTTTACAGGACTTCTCTGTACAACTTTTTTTTTCTTCTTTTTTTTTTAGTTAACACTTGCCTGGACTGTCCTAAAGTTATCAGATGGTCCTAAGGCAGACAAATAAGTTACAAATGAGCAGGAATGATTAAGTGTGCCAAGATACGCCAATACTACTCAGAGTGTAGAACGAATATTACATAAGACACAAGGAAATATTTGAATACGTAGAATTAATTTCTTCATTGCTGCTCCCCATAGCTTTGTCGCCACTTCCATAACCGTTTCAGCAAGGAAGATTTACTTACAGATCTGCAGGGAAAGTCTCATGCACTGCATCTGTATGTTTAAGTTGCAGAGTGCACACGGTGTGACAGATGTTTGCATCTGCGCAGCAGGCAAGGAAAGTAGGCAGCACTGATGTGTGACCAGATCGAAGATCAGATTGGCCCTGCGTGTGGCAGGGGGTTGGAGGTTCATGATCCTTGAGGTCCCTCCCAACCCTGGCCAATATCTGTGATTCTGTGAACTGCTCCAGGTTTTTAAATTTGAAAATTATAGGAGTTAAAATGAAGAAATTGATTAATTCATTCACTCAAAAGTGTTTCTAGAGATCCTTATATATTTTTGAGTCAGGAAAACGTGCTAAACTCATAACTGAATTGCTAATCCTTTTGGTTTGAGCACACTTGCACAGCATAACATTTAACTCTGATTTGTTGCTCCGTTTATTTGCTGTTTTGAAGTTCACCAACTCAGTTTCGAGTCATGGAGACAAAAGCACTTTTTCGACATAAGATGCCAGCAATGGTTTTTTTTTGGTTTGTTTTTGGTTTTTTTTGTTGTTGTTTTTCTCTTTCAACTAAAGCTAATGTTTTATCTTTATTCTTTATTTGGAGCATCAGCACCCCAGTCCGATGAAGGCTCTGATATCGATTCTGAACCAGACTTACCTTTAAAAAGAAAGCAGCGTCGCAGCAGGACAACCTTCACAGCAGAGCAACTGGAAGAGCTGGAGCGAGCTTTTGAGAGGACACACTACCCTGACATTTATACTCGGGAAGAACTCGCACAAAGAGCCAAACTCACAGAAGCTCGAGTTCAGGTATGAATTTAGAGGCTGCCTAACAAAGGGGAATTCCTATTAATGTGACAGTCCTTTAATATTCTCACACGATCCAGCTCTAGGTTAGAAGGAAAACTTGAAGCTACAATATGTACAGCCTTAGTGGTTTTTACATCTGTGCATGGACAATGATTTTCCAACTTTTTAAAGCAACAGCCTAGTCAGCCTTCACAGAAGAAGGTCTGTTATCCCAGTTTGTTTATTTTATGCATTTGACAGCACTCTGCATATAATCAGTTCAGCTTTTGTGCCAGTTTATAGTTATGTAACTGATTTCATCTGTTGTTGTTTGGGTCTTTCAGGCATTAACAGAGGAGAGAAAAACATTTTAAAAAGGACGTGTTTATAGAGCCATGCAAGCGAGCGTGGTAACTGGTGCAGTATCTACAGTTTGCTATTAGGTTAACTTTTGAAGTTGACTTGATTTAAACCTTGTAACAACTCTTCTATGCCCACTGTCCGTTTAATTCAAAACAAAATAAACCCTCAAATAACAGTTAGGTCTTCACAGCTTCGTGTTGATCTGGATTGTCTAAAACAAGTGCTGGAGGAGTGAGTAAATCATGGAATTGATTTAAGTTAAAAAAAAAAATAAAAAAAAAAGCTTGAACCTGGATTTTCAGATGTCCAAAATTGGCAACTAGAAGCCAAATAATTCTGGAATAAAGTGGATCTAGGAGTTCAGGTTCAGATTAAGGCTCGCTCTGTTTACAACACAGAATCGTGTCCTGTGAGATGCTTAGTAATGCAGGGAGAATCCTCTGGTGCTCATTTATTAACTGACATCCAAGAGGGATTTTAAAAAGATTGTCCTGTTTAAATCAATCCGAAGTGCAAGTGTTTGTAAGCAAATATGGTCGGCTGACAGGAAAAATGAGCGGTAACTTGTGAGCTGCCCAAGGATCCAGGTGAATTTGGCTGCTTTGGTGAAGCTGTTTTATGGTTTGACCCTTTGAAACTCAGCCTGAGGCATTCAGACTCTGCAGACTGAAATAGGCGATTCAGAACATCCCTCCGACCTTGTAAGGCAAGCATGCCTTTTGTAGCCTGCCTGCATTTACTGAGTGTCTGTCTTGAAGAATCCTGACTTTGTCAGTTTTACCTGCTAAATGTTTTTGTAGAAGACTTCAGAGCAAATTTCTTGCAAGTGTTTGTTATGACTGTGAGAGAAAATCGGATGTATGGATGAATTTGTCTGGAGGGCAAACTCAGTGGTGCATGACTCTCTTCTTAAAATGTTTATTAGGTACAATGCTTACAAAACAGCTTTGTATCTAAACTTGAGCCAGGTAAGACCAAATCAAGCCCTGGAAATCGTCCACGCACAAGCATAATAAAGATAGCTTCCTATATACGTCCCCTTAGCAAGACAAACTTGATGGTAGGATATGATGGTTTATGTTAGCTTCAGTGGAAAGATACGATAAAATGAAAAAGACCTTGTTCGTGTTTTTCTAAATCAATGACCCACAGCTAGAAGAAAAGCAGAACTCTCATTAACATAACAGCTGTCTTAATGTGGCTTTAACCCTGTGACTTTTTACATTCCTTATGGCTTCCTTGGTTCCCTTGAGACGCATCTTGTCTCACACCACTCCTATGATCTATAGCCACACAAATTCCCCAGTACCTCTAACATATGGATATTTTGCCTAACCCAGCATGGAAGAAAGTTTCCAGTCAATCAATGATTGAAACACCAGAACAAAACCTTTCTGGCTTAGAGATGAGCTGGGGTTGAAGTAGCCAGCCTGTGGGTAGTTTCGTAGTGCACTCCATCTGTCTGGTACCCTTGAAGGGCTGGCAGAGTGTTTTAGTAGTGGATTAAGGGATACAGGATTTTCCTTATCAGCATTCAGCACCTCTCTACAGCCCCTTAAAATAGCCACCTATGATGGGCATGAAATAAAAGAAGACCTGTGAAAGGAAATAACCCTAAGAGACTTGAGCCTGAGAGGGCTGGAGAGCCATACAGATGCAGCATTCAAGCTCTCTTAGTCACATTTCTTTTTTGGTAAGAGTAGGACAGAGATCAGAGATACAAAGTCTTATGTGGATATATGCACAAAGATCTCTTTGACTGCTACTTCATTAAATATTTTGTAGAAGAGTGTAATGTACTCTTTGCAGCCCAAATTTGGGTGAGATTCGAACATTATTATTTTCTAATGGGATTTTCTATAGTAACAAATCTCATATAGTTGTTTTACATTGTTTAGGATGTTAACTAATTAATGCTTAACTGATTACAACAGAACGTATGAGCTTTTCTTTCAGTCCCTCCATGTTTTGCTTTTTCTCTGCCACTCCCGTGCATCCTCTTTCCCTCTATTCCTAAGGGGTGAGCTCTGAACACTCATGGAAAGAGGAGTCTTAACCTCCAAACTGTCTTTTTTCTCACTTTCTTGCTGCTGAAGGGTGGCCAGGCACGTGTTTCTAAGCAGGCTGGTTGGAGGGGGGTGGGGAAAGCCACCTCTGGGTTGAGATCAAATTTAGAATGTTTCAGCCCCTAAGGGGAATTTTTTGAAAGGTACAAGCAACTGAAAACAGACTTTACACTGTTAATGTTATTTGTGTATTTAAATTGTGGGAAAGGAAAGGCTTTTGGGGTAAGAAATGTTGAAACAAGCTCCATGTTGCAAGAATCACAAGATGTATAACTGTAATTATCATGAGTACTTAAGCACTGTATATAAAAAGAAGTGAAAATATTCCCTAGAATTCCTCCTCCAGTGCCTTTGTGCTCCAGGACCCTGGGAGTCTTTCCCTCGTGTCTGAGCCCAGATGGCATGTGGAAACAGGACAGCCTCTGCTCCCTCTTCCAAGGGCACCCGGCTCTTTTCTGACATTAGATGCATCAGGAAGGGAAAAGTTGGTTGGTGTTGTGCATTCAACGTATATCGCTCAGAAACTTGAGTCAAGTCCTCAAGGCCTAGAGTAACCCTTAAAACAAGAAGAGTAACCCTTAAAAAAAGAAAAAAAAAAGGTAAAAAAAAAAAAAAAAAAAAAAAAAAGTGATCCTCTTTACTATGAAGTTACAGCTTTCCATACTTTGAATTGAACTCACTAAGCCATCATGAAGTTGCAGTGTAGACTCTTCAGGTCTCTGGCCTATACTTACTGAATCAACCTGGGGGCTAATTCCAAAAGTGAAATTTTCCCCACTGTAGATAAAGATCAAAGGCTCCTTCTGAGCTTCAGAGGAGCACGGTTACGGTTTCTGTAACAACGCATAAGGAATGAAGTGGGTAGTGTCTCCTCTGGCCACTTCTGGATTCCCACACCAGGCTTATTTTCAGTCCTGGATGAACTGGGTGAATCTGGCAGCAGCGTGGGGCCTCAATCTATAGGCTGGGGATGGGGATGTACATTCTCATGTCAACCCTGTGGTAAGCTTTTGTAAAAACCTCATCACGGCTTCAGTAAATAGAAGTTCTAAGGGCCCAGGTCTTGCGCAGCCAGAAGAAAAACTGTAGGAATATTTTACTATTTTAGAGATGTGATTGCATGTTGGCTTTTTTTTCTGTTCACTGTGGAAAGGAACGTGTGGAAAGGAAGAGAATGTTTGGAGAAGATAGAGGAGGCAAAGGGGAGAGAAGCAGTGATGACTCTTAAGCTGCTGGTGTGATTTGAAAGATCTGAAGTCCAATATCTTAGCTTTAGTATTCTCTTCTCAGTAGCAAACAGTGGGAAGCATTCACTGGGAAATCAGGGGAGGAGGAACCTGTGCCAAAAAAGACCTTTATTTGCACTCAGCCCCTCTGGAATGGTTTGAGCTCATGCTCCAGCTGCATGGTTCTAAGGGGAGATGGGGGAAAGGAATGTGGAATGGATTCAGAAACATTTAAGACCTCTCAGCAGATCTTTACACATATTCCTGATGTGGTTTGTGGAAAATTTATAGTGCTTCTTTTTGAGACTATCCTTCTTGCAGCACATACAGGATACAGAAAGAAAATGCTGTGTGCATTCTTGCAGTAGATAACTTTGCAATTGCGGTATTATTTTTCTTTTCCTGAGGTAAAGCAGGAATTCCATTAGATAAATCAGCCAACAACAAACACATGCAGGCCCCAAAAGACATTTATAAACATAAAAGAGAAGAAAGGATGTTATTTTTGATTCTCTTTTTTTGGTCCCTACTGCCTGTGTGCTCAAATTAGTGGAGTTCTGATTTAAAACTACACAGTTTATTGTGCTTATTAGTCAACACTACTGAACAGCACTCAGCTGCAGTGTTTGAAAAGCAGCCGTGCGGGACTGAGGCAGAGTAACGTGTGAGAGTTGAGTATGTTGGATCACGTTGAGAGGCGGTTGGAAGGCCTCATTCCCTTCGTTTTTTTTTTGTTTGTTTTTGCTTTTTGGAGGAAGGAAGAGGTGGGAATATGGCAAGGGGGCAGGTATGTGGAAAATATCAGGAGGCAAATGGGGGAAAATTGCACTTTGGCTGAAATGTGAAGTGCCGCAAACAATTCCTCAGTCTTTTGACTTTGCATGCTTTTGGCACTTATGTTTGCAATGGTCAGGACTGCGTTTTAACAAAATATCTGCGAGTTTCCTGCAGAATTCACATCTCAGATGTTTTGTGCTGGTGGTTTGGAGATGTTTTTCCCTTAAAAGCACATAGAGCACTCTGTGTTTGTGATCAGGCTGTTGAGATGTCAGGGCTGATTACACTGCTATGTTCCCAAGTGAATAAATGCATCTCTTAAGGACTACCCTGTTGAGATTAACAAAGTAAGATGCTGGCATGGTTGCTTGCAAACTACTTAAAGGAAAAATGATAATAAAAAGCAGGATCTGAATGTAAGAAAGAAGAAATGGGAGAAACTTATTAGGTTTCATTCATTATCCATTCAACAGGACTGCAATATATATATATATATATATATACACATACAAAATTATATTATACTTATTTAATATTTTATATTGCAGTGATTTCTTTTTTGTCAGTCCAGTTCCAGATGTGTGAAAAATTAGGTCTCCAATGCTTACTTCCTTTAAATTACAATATTACAACTTTTTTTTTTTTTTTTTTTTTTTTTTTGCACTGTACTCTCACTCTTCTTCAGTTCTATTTTCAAGGCCTTCAGTGATATAAATTTTAGCCAGACTCTGTGGTTAAACTTTGTTTCCAAATAGTCAGAGTAATTTACATTCCATCTCTGAAAGTGACACTGAAGCTGGGGAGCCAAAGTCTCACCAACATGAACGTGCCTTGGCTGCGAGCACGGCCTCGCTTTGGGTGCTGGGGTCACCCAGCAGGCTGCCTTTCCTCTGCCCGTGCACGTGTTTGCACAACACCAAGCACAATGCTGACCTAATTTAGAGCTAAGGCCCCAGCACAGGCAGGTCAAATTTCTTCTGACGTGGGTCTGTTGGTGTAAGAATGCTGTGTTTTGAGTCTCTGAAAGGCAAAAACTCTAATATCTATTGCTTTGCTTCCATGAGGGAATTTAGTGTGTTCGTGGTGACTGCAGCACAAAGGTGATGATTGCTTTGCTCAGAAGTGAGGCTGCAGAAGAACAGTATGCTGTGGGGAATCAGCTAGATTTGAAAAGTCCACTTCATAACGTGGGGATTTTGTAATTCTGATGAAATTTACTGAATGGAAATGTGTTTCAATGACGCGGGAAATGAGCAAACAAAACAAAGCATTTCCCTGGGTATTTGCAGTATGCTTTTCAGTATACACAATGGGTTGTGGTAATTATTTTTGCCTTGTCTTAATATTGGCAAAATTTTTCAAGATTTCTTTAAATAGAGGCAACGATGCATGCGGATTTTTCATAGGTGGTGTTCAATTTTTTTCCTGGACTTTTCAGAATAAATTAAGGCAGCTGTATGTAGTCTAAGTAGAATAGCACGATTTTAAAAAGGTATAATTTCACTTAACCTACCAAGTGTATAACTGCTTCTGCATAAAGTTTGGCATCTCACTCATTTTAACAAATATTACGTAGAACATAAATGTTTGAATTATTTAGCTTAGAGTCACTTGGTCCTGACTTTATTAATTTCATTTTCAACTTTTAAACTCTCCCATTTCACTTTCTTTATGTTCCTTTTTCTTCTTACTGTTAGGCTGTTTCCTCTTTGTGTTCCATCTCACAGTTACTTGGTCTGCAGTTACTTGGTGTGAAGTAGGAGTTAAACACAGTGGCAAACCACATCTCTACTTTATAGGGTAGTTCAGACCCACCATGTTTCAGACACTGGCCATCATGTCAGAAGGGCTGGGCCGTGTTAGGCAATAAAAATCGTTTTGTTAAACACCCAGAAATCAGAGTTTCAGTGAGTTCACTTGTGAAAATGTGTGATGGTAACTGTTGGGGCCATACTTATGGTCATTTTTATGACAAATCCCTTTTGCTTTTACCAAGATGGATCCAAAGCCCATTAAAATCAAAGGAAAACAAGGGCATACATGGATGATGCCCCTGGTGCTTGCATCTAAGATGTTTTTGTGCTTATCTATCACTGGGTAGCAGAAAGCGCACGTGGTTATTGTGGCAATGAGTCCTTGGTGTTCCCAAAAGGGCTGAAGTCCTGAGGCAGGTTCTCTGTGTGGGACAGACTCCCGTAGCCGTGTTCTGCAGAGGATCGTTTGGCAGAAACTCGCTCTGCCAAACTCGAGTGTTTTGTGTAGTCACTTTGGTCGGCCCAGCAATGGTAAAGCAGCCCCATGGTGGCTGGGCTGGCAGCAGAGCTCCTGCATGTGCTCACTGAGGGCTGCCAGGGCCCTGTGGGTGCTGCCGAGCACATCCCTGCCTCTGACGGCCAGCGCACCTCTGTGGTTCTGGGAAAGCACTTGTCTATAAAATGAGCTAAATGTAGGCAAGACCTATAATCTGTAAATAAAAGCGTAACACTTGGCATTAATGCTGCTGCTGAGTTCCAGTTTTAGATTTGACTCAGTTTTTAAGAAAGATCTAGAGCCAGAAGACAGACCCTTGTCTGTAGAGGAAATAAAATCTCACTGCCCCTTTTCCTCAATGAAAACCACACAGTGGTGTTCAGCAAGGTTCCCAAAGTGTTTGAAGATCACCAGATAACCCTCTTGACCTGAAGAAGGGAGAGTGTCATGGAGAAAACAACAGTTAATGACCTGGGTGGGCTAATTACTGTGTGTGTTCACTGTTCCCCACTCCCTCTGTGACCTCCATTATCCTTCCTAAGTGCACTTTGGCTCTTCAGAGAGCCCCTTTCTCCCTCTTCAGAGTATTTTGCCCTTTCTTTCTTTTTGGTCATCTTCAAAGGACACCGCAATAGGAATGTGAGATCGGTGGGCTCTGAAGGGCATAAGCGTATGGAAGATGTCTGAGGAATACGAAATTCAGGCTGAAATGTGAGCAAGGGAGTTCAAAATGTTCTACGCCCTCATATAAAGGCAGCTTATGGCCTGTAATGTTACACCTTGAAATGTAGTCTGTGATGGCTGATTCGTAAGATGGCGTGGGCTGTTCACTGGAAGGGTGACAGATCTGAGACCTCACTAACTGTTACAAATACTTCTAGTCAAGGTTCAGCAGCTAGTGTGCCTCCTGCCCTTCAGGCTGCACTGCCTACAGGCTCTGCAGACATACTGTGTGAGACCTTAGCTCACTCTTTTCTAACTGATCAGCTGCAGCTGCTTCACTGTCTACAGTTATGAGCAATAATATGTCTGCTTGTTTACAACACGTAAAAGCCTTTCTCTCCTGCAGTTGTCCTGCTCTTGGAAAAGGTTTAACCTGGCAGATACTCTAAACCTGTAGCAAGGCAGTGGTGATGCATGCCATGTCTGGGCACCCCTGCTGTGCCTGCCTGCCCTTCAAACTTGTGTCGTGTAGTCACCACTGATACCAGTATTAACCTACATGCTGCAGATCTTACTGTCTGTGTCAGTGAGATCTTGCCTCCCCCTTTCTTGTAGGTAATAAGAGCCATTGAAGGCTTGGAAAACTTAGAGCATGAGCTGAGAATGGTGTGAAGGAATCACTTGTTGGTAGAAAGCAGATTTATAGCTGAATTTTTCCACTAATCCAAAACCCATCTGCTTGATTCCCTGTCCTGGGAACAGATTTCAGTGTGGTTAGTTCTGAAATACTGATCTAGTACTGAAATTATGATCTAGTGCTAATGTTGAGTTTATTGAGAGATGTTTTGTGCGTATGGGAATACATGAAAACTTGTTGGGTGGGCTTTGTTCCTTTATATGCGGAGCTTTTGTTTTTCAAATTAAAAGCTTGAAGTTCTGTTGATAATTAGGGCAATATAAAATTCCAGCATATAAATATAAGCACCTTCCAACAGTGCTTCAAGGGATGCTGCTGACTTGTCAGCAATTTGAATGCAAAAACAAAACAATTCAGACCAAATAGTTTGGCTGGCACTCAGATCAAATGGAGAGATGTTTTCCCTTTCTCATTAAATCTGGCAGTAAGGACAGTCATTAATAGCTATTAAAGGCACTAAAGCTTGAAAACATTAGTCAGCTTCTTTCTCAGGAAGCCATAGTTGAGAGGAAACTGGGCTTTGGGATTCCTGCTTCCTGTCTGTTGAACCACGAAAGTGTGTGCCAAGTGTGTGACTCTTTGAGTGTCTAGGAGCTCTGAGTTGACAGCAAATGTGCCCAATGCACACCTTCTCTTGCTCTCTTCTGAGGCGCCGATTGCATTTTAAATATGATGCTAATATTTCCGATGCACCTTTATTAAATGTACAGAAATCAAACATGCCTAATTAAATCATTTGTAGGTCTGGTTCAGCAACCGCCGTGCTAGATGGAGGAAGCAGGCAGGAGCCAACCAACTGATGGCTTTTAACCACCTGATCCCAGGAGGGTTTCCACCCAGCGCCATGCCGACTCTGCCGACATACCAGCTCTCTGAGCCGTCCTATCAGCCCACCTCCATACCGCAAGGTACAGTAGCAAACAGGTACTTGGCTAGAGGGTGCTTCTGGGGGCTTCGTGTGTTCATCTACTGCAGAAACAGTTTCTTCTCAAAATGTAGAAAAAAGGATACTGGCTACTTTAGGGACTGACTCGGTGATGACCTTGCAAGTCTGCTTATTTAAAATATGTAAGGATTCTAATTTGTTTTGCTGCAAGAAAGAGCTGGTTCCATGTGAAGGGTGCTGTCTTCAGAGAAATAATAGTCTCACGCATTGCAGAGGTGTGGTGTGAAAGAGCAGCAGTTGTGTCCTGTCCTCTTTGTTGCTTTTGATGGCAATGCACTGAAACTTCAGTAAGTACTCCTAGCTTTTCCCAGTGGAAATAATCAGCTATTCAGACCATTGTTTTGCATTGGATAGTAGCAAGTTTCAGCATGGTAAAAATTTGTCATAACCTCACCAGAAATTCTGTGAATATTGGTAGCCTGGAGCAAGGGAAACAGATCTTTAAATCTGGTCTTTACTAGATTTTGCTGTTAAGGAAAATCCTTACAGGAGAGATTGTATAAGCCAAGTTACCATATCCTCCTTGATCTCTCTGTGAGATTTTTATGCTATCTGCTGTTGAATGTTGTTGCCAGATTATCTAGGCAATGGAATTTTTGAAAGCCCAGGACTTTTCCCATCCCTTGCTAGAAATTCTGCTGTGATTTGTAGTGAAACTGTGCTGTGACCAGAAAGGAGAAGCCTGTCTTCTAAACAAATTAAGCTTTTCTTTTATATGTAAGCTTATATGTGTGTGTGTACGTGCTTATGTATTATTATATACTAAAATACATTCATCTAAAATATGTTTTTTCGTATGTTATATATAATTTTGTGGTGTCAATTCTAAGCAATGCACTTGCTGAGAATTGTCTGAAAACTGCGAGTCTGTTTTGGCTTTTATGGTCTATTTAATAATGACGATTTCATGGAATTTTTATGTAATTTTACTGGCCAGCTAGATATCTAGCAATGTTGAAGGCTTACTGTTCTATTTAATCAGTACTTCCATGCAGGTTCTGATGAAATGATATCAAATTGAGCTTCACATAATGAACTTATTACCTAGAAAAAGAGGAGGGAAATGATCAACGTGTTTCTTTTCCTTCCAGCCGTGTCTGATCCAAGCAGTACAGTCCATAGACCTCAGCCTCTCCCTCCAAGCACTGTACACCAAAGCAGCCTCCCTTCAAACCCAGAGAGCAGCTCTGCCTATTGCCTACCCAGCACCAGGCATGGATTTTCCAGCTATACAGACAGCTTTGTGCCTCCGTCCGGGCCCTCAAATCCCATGAACCCTGCCATTGGCAATGGCCTTTCACCTCAGGTCAGTCCTGTGTTTTCAGACAGAGGATTTGCTGTATACCAGAACCAAAGAGTCTATTCCCTCAGGCCACAGTATAATGAATTGCCAAATTTAAACCATAATGTATTCTTTATATAAGCCACATGATTTCAGTTTGCTAGTTTCCTTCTTTTTTTATTTTTTTCTTCCTACTGGCTGAATCAAGAGTCATAGCTTATATTTAATTTCAAGTGATTTATAAAGTAATCCTACAGGGTTTGTGTTTATATTCATTTGTTAGGCATTGGTAAGGTACTGCTGTTTTCCTGAAGAACCAGTGCTAGGTACAGAAAGTAGGTCTTGTAGCTTTTGCGTGAATAAAATCTCTTTAAGATAACCTCACAAAGGTTGTAGCAGACACTATGGGAAAAGTGCTAGTGGTGCTAGGAGAGCTGTGAGGGCTGAACACTGCACTTTGAGATGAGCTATAATCGAGTTATAAATACATAAATTAGGAGCATTACTGCTCTTCGGCAATGTATAAATGCATGACTGCTGTAATTGTTTTTCTAATTTGCATGAGCTCTTCTTAGGAAATCACGTTAATAAATTGCCTTGATAATTGAGTGTCAGAAGGTTGGTTAAATTTTCCTACATGAGGCATCTGTCTGAAGCTGACATTATTAGTTAAACTTGAATAGACGGTAGTTTATTTTATTAGCTAGAGCTTTGCCCAGGTGCTCGGAAAGAGATGTCCACTAAATTCTGAGAAGTCACAAAGAGGATGCAATCTATAATTACAATCAGGAATCTCTTCAGGGCTGAAAGTGAGAGTTTTAACGGCTTTATCTGCTTTCCACCCTTTTTTCCTCGAAGTGGTTAGAAAAACAGAGAGAAGCTCAGAATGACACAAATGAAAAGTGAAAAGACAATTATACTCAATTACACACTAATCACCGACTATCACCACTGCCTAAGCAGGGAGAGGGCATTCTAATAGGCAGAAAATGAGATTTTAATGGCACAAAGGGTGGCCAAAATAACGACTCGTATATCTTTGCCTCCTTCGTTTTCTTCAACTTGTGGTTTGCATCTTGGGAGTACAGTTCCTGGTTCCTGTGCAACGGTGATAACTCTGTGCAGCTGAAAAGTTCAAAGGCACTGGAGTTGAAAAGAATGAATAACAAAGGCAATGAAATAAACATTTTTGCCCAAAGGCAAAAGTTCATAAACCCTTTTTTGTAACAGTAAATGTAATTAAGTTTCACAGATTCCTATAGCATAGAGTGGAGTACAAAACTTTATGGCTTGAAACCTCGAGAAAAAAATACCAACAGAAAAAACAAACGGATGTACTTCCAACAAGACTTGAATGGATTTTGTTCTAAAGAATTCCCATTTCTAAATGCAATCTTCAACAAAGCCACGACTTTTTAAAAATGGTTGGTTTCATAGTGTTCAAGGCTTCCACAGTTTGGATATAAATATCTTCTAGGATTGAGCGTTAATCCATCAAAGGTAGTTGTTAGTGTCAGTTTAAATGTATGTTGGTTCTGGCTATGGAAAATGTGATCTTTTTTTTCTTTCACAAAGCTTTTATTGTCTGTGACACAGAAGTTGAGCACAACAGTAAAGAAATCTTGTGATGTCTGGGCAAAGTGGAACAAAACAGTGAGGCCAGGCTTCCTCCCCCCCCAAAGCCTTGCTGATTTGAGGTTTGATATAATCAAAAGGAGATTCTGGAGCAGATTAGACTTCTTTTAATCAGTTTCTGGGCTTCTTTACACCCAGCTCTGTCTTTATGCTATGAAGCTTCTGCTGTTCTTTGATTTTCTGCTCTAAAACTTTTTCTGCCCTGGTCTTTAGAACTGTAGTCTTTATTCTGCACCTTTACCAACAAGTTTAGAAGGAGGCGGATCATTCAGAAATTGATGCTATGTGTTCATCACTGAATGTCCACAGGTGATTGCTTATATTCACTTAGATGTTAAACAGCTTCTTGACAACCTGACTGGCTGATAAATATCTTTCCATCACCTTACAGCAAACAAACAAACCAAAAAGCAGCTCTAAAATGCTCATGTATTGTTACCAATAGTACCTCTGAAACAGTTTTGGGGCCTAAGTGATAACAGAGACACCTTGGAATTAAATGGCATACCCAGGGTTTGTGTCTCTGCAACTATTCTGCCTTCTTTGTTGCATAAAACTGTTCATTATGTGAAACAACTGCGGTTCCAGAGAAACAATGATTGTACTTTAAGCCTGAAGGATGAGCCCAAGACATTGATCACATCAGTGCTATGCTACTGAGTGTAAGATGTGTTTCAATTGGTTTTGGAGGGTCCCAGAGGATCCCCTTGCTGGGCTTCCTTGGGACCTGTGCACTACAGGTGTCTGAGTGTAGCCAGGAAGTTTAAAGCCAGTTCTGCACTGGTGATTTTATTAAGAAAGAAACAGGAATTTTGCTGCTGAGTGGGCACGTTGCAGAGCCCTCCGTGTGTGTGGAATTTAGATTTAGAGAAAGGATCTTTTTGCTAGCTGGTGGATTTTTGGCCACTGTAAGTCTGGGTATGTGAGCAATTAAATCATGTTTCCACCCATCAGTGTGTTTCTCAGAAAAGCACTTTGGATATACTGTGGATGAGTGAATTTACAGCGACTTCAGTGGGAGGGAGAAGGTGGGGGCTTTGTCTGAACCCAAATCATCTTTTGTGAGTAAAAAATAAAAGCCTCAGAATTTGCAGAACAAAATCTAATATTAAGATTCATAGGATTCAAGTCTTACCAGACTTAAACCTCCTCTTCCCTTCAACTTCAGTTTGTTCCAATTGAGGGTCTGACATGCAGACCTCTGGGGATGCTTTATTTGCTGCGCGGGATGTTTCCTTTCTTTGTTCTTGAGTATGATGGACTGACATGTTGTTCAAGGCAAGAATTAGGTGAAGCACAGAAGAAAAGGGGAAATGACTGGGGTGCTGTAACTTTATTTTTATCACTTCAGCCATGAACTTGGAAGTTAGAGGATTGTACATCTTGCTCAGTTTTAAGAAGCAGAACTTAATGTAGCTGTCTTGCAGGACGGTAGTTTATTGGGAAATAAAACGGTATTCTTGTTCATAAGAATGAGAGAATAGGAAGGGTCCCACCTGGTTAACATTCAGCCCTTTATTGCATTGTAGCAGGATCTGCAGATCCCCTCTGGATGATGGATGGCTCTCACTGTGCATCTGGTTTCCTTGCTACCACCTGGCTGTGGTGAGAACCTGGCCTGCAGACCTGTCGAAGATAGGCTTCTGTGGGAATAAACTAGTGATGGATGTCTTGGGGAACTGATAGCTAGGAGTGTCCTTGTTTGTATCAAATAGAGAAACAACCAAGCCACAAGCACTCCATCTCAGCCAGCGCTCTATAAATATAATGGCAGAACAGAGATTATTAGTGTGTAATATATGTAAATCACATATTTTTTATGTTTTCTATGCCTATTATGCAGCTTCTTGGCTTTCATGCATACATTTCTGGGGATATTGTATTTCCTTTTCAAATTAGGTTCCAGTTGCTTAGTGCATTTTCTTTTAACAAAAATTGGTTAACTCGGAATTGTTAGGGAGCAGCATATCTGTAGGTGAATGTGTGTGTACAGGAGTTGAGCGTGCCTCTGAACTGCCATAGCACTTTCTGAGTCCGACATTAACAATCACCCCTGGTTCTCTGGCTGTAAAGCAGAAGACAGACTGCCATAACATTTGTCTTGCAAGAGCTGCAGGTGTTTGGCCTTACAAGAGAGCAGATTGTTTTTAAGACAGGATTTCAATATTTTGAACTGCTTCATTTAAGACAAGGAAAAGGTCTTTTCCGGTGTACATGGGCATCCCTTGACCTTGTCATGTGCTTTTTATTAATGTCAAAGCAGCACAGTTTGCCCTACACAGTTTGCAGGTTTGGAAGCGTGCTGTTTCTGGCTGCTCTTAGGTTCAGAGCGAGCAGCAACACTGTGCTCACATTGCTGCCCATGAGGCTACTTGCTTCCTGCAGTTAACTTTTAGGTAAATTTTTAACAGAGAAAGAACAAATGTGTGCAACCTGTTCCCTGCTGGACATGAGATTTTCTTTTCCTCCTTGCCCTCTAGAAAACTTCTAAGCTCTACTTTTTCCTTATTGTCTTTATCTATAACTGAGCCTAACTAGTAGCTTTAAAGACTGTATTTTCTAAATGGAAAGAAGATGGAATGTTGAATGTGCAGAAGATCACAATATTTTTGAAAATACTTTGCAGTTCTCATGCAATTACCTGGAGCTCAAGACTAATCTTGATAAGAAAATTCCAAGCGTTTCTGTGAACAGTAGTAAAATCGGCAGCTGTTTCAGGGTTTCTTTCTTGTACTGTCAAAACATTTCACTGCCTGAGTTTAAGGATGAACTTAAACTGTAACTTCTCCTGATGAGATAGATCCTAGGTAACTGGGTTAGTCTTTGTGAGCATTGGTTTTCATTAGCCTGAGGTGCAGACCTGGCGGCAGCTGTCGAATCAGTTAGATATATTCATATTGTCCTGTTAACTCTGCTAAAGAGAACGTTCTGTTAAAGAATCAACTTAAGTTTTCTTATTAACAGGGCAGGAAGAAAAAACAGGTGTTAATTCATTATGCCTTTTGCAACACCTTCTACTTACTATGCAGCTGAAAACATGCTTTTTAGTTCTACGTTCCTTACCAATCAGAACTCGTGATGTTTGTCACTGTGGTGTTGGCTTTAAGAACTCTTTACTTAATGAACAAGAACAGGTCAGGGATTTCTTTGTGGGGAAGAAACTTAATTCACATGATACAATTTTAATGAGAGCAATTTTATTTTATTTTTAGTAAAAATATATACATTAGATTTGAGATTTGGTGAAAGAATGAAAAAGTTCAGTCAATGGGATTATTTCTATTTCTGGAATATGAGATCAACATATGAGATTCAATAGTTCCATAATTGTTACCTTGCAAAAATAATAACATCATTTTGTAAATATTGTAATTATGAATATAAAATAT